ACACAAACGAATCCTGGTCCGGACCAAAGAACCGAACCGAGACCCACTTTTTTAGGTGGTCTCGGCCCGCTTCCAAACGAATTCTGGTCCAAGTCGAATCAGGTCTGAATACATCCGATGTCGATCCGACACAACTCCAAAACAAGCCGCAGACAGAAACTGAGGAATTAGCCATGCAGCGGCTAACTATGCTGCTAACTATGCTGCTAACTATGCTGCTAACTATGCTGCTAACTAACTATGCTGCTAACTATGATGCTAACTATGATGCTAACTATGCTGCTAACTATGCTGCTAACTATGCTGCTAACTATGATGCTAACTATGCTGCTAACTATGCTGCTAACTATGATGCTAACTATGCTGCTAACTATGATGCTAACTATGCTGCTAACTATGATGCTAACTATGCTGCTAACTATGATGCTAACTATGCTGCTAACTATGCTGCTAACTATGATGCTAACTATGATGCTAACTATGATGCTAACTATGCTGCTAACTATGATGCTAACTATGATGCTAACTATGATGCTAACGCTACACAACAACACTGAGCCGTGTGCAGACCTGGAGCAGTGAGGAGACGCTGTGCAACAGGCTTATGGAGTTAAAACTGTTCCCAGTATACAGTGATGTTAATGGCAGCATCTTCAAACCATTTGCATTATGAAAAACCTGACACTGTTTGACTCACGTCTCAAAGAGCAATATTCCGCATCATGTAGTGAATTGTGTTCTTTGGTTCCTACCTGATCCTCAGCGTCTGTTTGTCCCGTGGTTATTATAGATCCATGGTTTATCCACATGCTGCTGTCAGTAAGTTGTGGAACAGGGTTATTATAATAGATCCATGTGTGGGACAGGGCACGGAGCGCTCAGAGTCTCCTTCGGCTTTCTCCTCACGCATTCTCCGACACTGTTCCAATATTTAAAACAACGTGTTTCGCCTGCGTCATATGAGCTGCTGTTGATGTTGAAGGTGGTTTTGGTCTAAAAAGAGCAAACATAGGCAGAGCAGACATGCTGCACATACAAGCCCTCATGTTTTCTGCCGGTTCCGCGTCTATCCTCTGTGAGCTCTCGCTGTCCAATAGGAGCGCCGATCGTCACACGTGTCAATATGTTTATATAAAAAAGTTCACTTGCAAAAAGGACAGTCTGAATACAAACCGGAGCAAAAGAAAAAAGTTTGGTCCACTTTTGATTCGGATCAAGCAAGCGGAGCAAAGGACTTTTCAGGTCTGAATACACCCTTAGTCTCTCCCTGTGTGTGTGTGTGTGTGTGTGTATGTGCGTTCTGCGTGTGTCATCAGAAATCAGTAACTTGACCAACACCGATAAACAAATGGGCAAAACTTTGGGCTCAATGCTTGATTTTTCGCTTTACAAATATTGAATTATCATGTCTCATGTTTCCACATAATTTACACATTGTTGTCTTCAGTTTTTAGCCTAAAAAAAACCGAAAAAAAACTCCAAGTATGTTTTTGATGAGGGACGAATGTTAAGTCTTCTGTACAGCTATGCCTACATCTACAGATTTCCTGCACATATTGTCCAATTCCAGCAAACAGAATGGGCCTCCTCAAGCACAGCAGCTCCCAGTAATAAATAAATCCAGGGAGAAAAAAATGACCTTCTGTTTCATCTGGTCCAATCCTGCTTCGTGTGCATTCTCCAGCACTGTTTGGTGAGAGTGGATATTTACTGAAGCATGCAGGTTAAATGGTTTTTCATCAAGGCACCAGGGGATCTACATCAGCAGCACAGTGGCTTCAGCACCGGACTGCACTTTCACAATCCTGTGCGGCTAATGGGCCAATGAGAGCAGGCTTCACCAGTGCAGCAAAGGACACTGTAAAAACCTACATCCATAATAAGGACACATATCAGGCCAATGTCTTTGAGCTTCATTCTCTCATCATCGACAGACCCGCAGATGTTTTATCAAAAATATAATCAATAATTTATTTCAATTGTGGACAGTAACATGGCATTACATGACATGATCCACACACACACATTTTCAAAGATGGACTGAAACACTCTTTCTCATAATTGTTTTTTTCTTCTTTTTATTTATTTCTATTTTATCCATGTTTTTCATTATTCCCTTCCCATGTGTTTCTGGACAAAAGGGAGAGAGAAGAGTAGCTTCTTCTGCTCTCCTGGTTAGATTTGAGAAGTAAAGTAGATTCTATGTTAAAAGACTTTTACTCATTTTCCTTTTTTTGATAAGAACACCTTGGTTTGAGTCGACCTTTGGTATTTAAAAATGTGTCCCTGTACAACCGTACACAGCACAAAAAGTTATTTGGGGTATGGTGATGGACTCAAGCATACTCAATCACAGACTAACATACTGAATTTAAGTTCTATTTTTATAGTGTACTTTTCCTTGTTCCTTGTCTTGGGCCCCCTGCTTCTCTCTGAAAGGTGTTCATTTTCAGTCCTGGCTGGAGCTCTGAGAACAATATCATCTTCATAACAAGACACATGAGCGCTTCACACCACAGGCTTCAAGAAAAAGAAAACCAACTATTCCTCTTTCTGTTCATACCAAGACAAACACAGATTTATCAACCTCTTTGTGCACTGTGCGAACAGCAATCTTTACATGTTTGAAAATGCATATTCTGTAATTTCTGGACAATATGCTTTTTTCACACACTATGAACAGTACAACAATGTGGATACATGTTAAATGATCAAAGACTAATAGCCTCTAGGGCTGAAAGAGAGGATGTGGTTCCCAAATTGGGGCTCGCGGGACGCTAGTTGGGAGTTGGAAGATGATTTTTTTCTTTTTTTATCTCTATTCTATCTCTATCTTTTTTTTTAAATTATACACTTCTTTAAGTGATATTATAGTAGACCAAATAGGATAATGACATTATAAGGAATATTGCATGTTTTAACAATCCATCCATCCAGCAGTCTGAGCAGAGACTGAGCCCAGACTTCACTGTCCACACACACTTCCCTCTGATCATCAGGAGAATCCCGAAGCAATAGTCCCTCCAGCGTGTCCTGAGTCACCCACAGGGACATGCCCGGAACATCTCCCCAGGGAGGCGTCCAGATGGCATCAGACACAGATGCCAGAGGCACCACAACTGGTTCTCGTGTGACTGAACTCCTCATCCTTTCTCTAAGGGAGCACTCATAACCATAGGTGAGGGTGGAAACTTAGATTGACCAGTAAGTTGAGAGCTTTGCTTTTCGGCTCAGCTCCTTCTTCAACACCCTGCACCGATCCATCTGTCCATCTCGCAGTGGGGATCACAAGTCAGTTTTATGCCTCTCTTGGGGTTCTTGCGGCCTGAGTAGGACTGAAAAGTGTGGAATGGACCAGGAATACTTATTTTTGAGAGACTGTATTTGGAATACAAAATCATAGCTAGTAAATAGTTTGCATACTATATACTTTGGCAGAAAATTCTTGACGAGAATAGTGCTCACTACTTTTACTTTTTGGAAGAAAACATGTAAAACAAGAACTTTGCTTTATGTTCATTGGTAAAATGTGGTGCAGAGGTACATAGTGCTGGTATTACACATTATCTATCAAAATACAAAACAGGAAGTATTCTCTTGGTTTACAGTTTCATATAGCCCTTGGATCTTTGGAAACATTCTTGCAGGGATATCTTTTTCACTTTTCCTTATAAACAAAATTAAACTCGACAAATTAAATAGTCTACATTTTATAGACAGGATATGTTGATTTAATTAGTTTCTGGTGCTTCCTGCAGCCCTACACTATCACTTTCCTAAACATTCTGCAACTCCAGTGGAACGTCTTTACAGTTCCAGCGTTCCTTTCCCTCCTCCGCAGCCTCTCTTTGTTCCGCTTCTCACTCGGGCAGCTCTGTGCTTTGGGAGTGGACCGTCCTTTGGCATTAATTGATTTGTGCAGCGACAGAGAAGGCTGAGAAGAGGCTAATTCTGTCTGAACGGGAGGAGTAGATTAAGGCCTGACACCATCACCACAGCCCTGTCAGATAATGAGAGACGCCCGCACTTGGACCAGACAAAGAAGACTTTAGCGAAACACACTGAATGGGGAAAGAACTCAGAAATAAATGTTTGAATATATCTTGATGAATGTAGTTTTTGAATTGAACTGTTTTGAAATTAACCAACAGGTTTTCAGAACCGATGTGTAACTATTTATACCAGTTCCAGTTCAGTGTTTTTGGAAAGCACTATGGTGTCCTAAAGTCTCCAGCACAGCACCAAAACTGCCAAGAGTGATTGTTGCATTATTGTACGCCCATAACAATACACAAAGCACAATACATACATGCAGTAAAGTCTGTGAGTATTAACTTCAATAAAGTTACATGAAATTACATAGTAGAGCGCATGGAGCTGTTATGCGCGAACATCAAGTCCTCCTGGCTCTTGATTGATCTATCTACTGTACTAAAAAGAGATTATGTCAAATAGAAAATTACAAGTATCTATAAAAACACATTAAACACAAGTTGATGAGGGGTGGGTGGATGACAAGCTGAGCGGACAGCTTACTGCAATTAATGAATATGTGGCTTTCATTACGCATTTCAGACCAATGTTCATTCAGAGCTGGATAAAAACATTTGAGCTGAAGCCTCGGAATATTGGCCTGACGACGCTGATGGGGCTAAGTGATAAATTAACAGGGGCTTAATGTCGAAGAGGCAGCACTGAGGCACAGACAGTGGTTAGTGCTTGTGCTTCAGAGAACAAGATTCCACCAATTGGGTTTTTCTGTGTGGAGATTGCATGTTCTCCCCGTGACTGAATAGGTTTTCTCACCTCTCAACCCACTCCCCTGAAAACGAGATTCTGAAATCTCAGAGGGACTTTCCTGGTTTCAATCAAACATCCTTCATTCTTAAAAAGGTTGAAATTAGGAATAAAGAAGACAACCGAGTGGATGAGACTGAATAAGCAGACTGAATTTTATTTTGTGTAGTTTTAACCCAATATTTGTAGGCGAGTACACTTACCTTGCCGAGTGTCTGCGAGTTGGCCAGACTTTCCGAAAGCCTTGGGTAGGTGTACGAGCTGTAGGAATGCGGCTGTGAAGCGTTCCTTAGTGCCCCACTGGCTGCGTAGGGGACATTTGGTTCCTGTAGCCCAGACCCAGACCTGGACCTCTGTCTGATGGCAGGCGTGGGACTGGTTTGCGACACGTAGGAGCTCTTGGGCCGTTTGTCATAGTCGCCTCCGTAACTCCATTCGCTGTCCGGGTATGTGATCTGTTCGCTGTGCAGAGAAGCTCTTGACGGAGTCCCAACAGAAGTGTCCCTGTAGTCCTGACTGGAAGAGCCCCCAACAGATGCCCGATAGTATCCGCTCGACCCCACCCCGCTTCCCACCGTCGAGGCCACTTCATCTGCCGATCTCCCTTTGCTTTCCAGGTACGTGTGATAATCCGGCGGAAGTTTGCCGTAGTCCGACTTTTGCGGCATCACGTCTGGGTAAAAATGACTGCGTATCGGATGTCCATTTTGTTTGGTGAGTCTATAATGCCTTCCGACGCCCCATTCGCCGTCTATGGAAAAGCTAGGTTTGCCAGGATCGAGCACGAAGTCCCGGCTTGACGAGTCCAGGTCACAGGAGTAGCGGGAGTAGTAGTGGCTGAATCCGTTCTCTTCCGGACCCCCCGGGAGGCTGCCGATGAGGGGTTTGGAGGAGGGTCCAGCCTGGTGCGCACCCGGAGGACTTTCCTTTCGCAACGAGTTGGAACGCGTCACTGAGATGTTGTCGAACTCCTCCAGCAAACCATTAATGGAAGCATCTTTGGGCGGTCGGTTTCCTCGGACGATGGTCTGTAAATAAAAGATGAAATGTATAAATATATGGAGTGGAAAAAAATAGGACAAACAAATTGACATTTTACTGCGCAACGTTTCAGATTGGGTTTTCCACCTCGTCTAATTACCCAACCGATAGATTCCTTTCAATGTGAATCCAAGCAATTGATGCCATGGCAAAGGTTTTGCTTTGCTTGGACTTTTCCTCAGTACACAGTATTGTACAAGGGGTGGGTGATCCAAGGAAAATTCTCAATTTCCTCATTTCCTCATTTGAATGGGAAATGAGGAAAGGTGAAGACACGCCCCTGTCTCCAAAATAGTGAGTTTAATAGAAAAAGTGTTCTTAAGCCCATGACTGCAGTCTCTCTATTGTTAATTCTCATGGCAATTAATGAGATAAAGTTGAGATCACAATTTTAAAGCTAGTTTATTCTAAACTATCTATAATGTACAATGTCTCAGTCCCATTGTGTATGCTCATGAGGTGCCGCTGTGTGTGCCCGCGCTTGCGCACAATCACCTACGGGAGGTGTCAAAGAGACCAGAGTTTGTGTTGGGTGGTCTAGGGGGCAGAGCACATCTCCGGCATTTCACATACGGGTGCAGAAAACCCATTGGGTTAGGTTCACACTCCATCAAAAAATCTTCTCTGATGTAAACTGTGTGCGCTTCAGGACTGTTCTCCAGCTGGGGATGGGCACGTGTTACGTGCACAGCTTTACACACAGACAGCGACCTACCTGGTTACGCACAGCGCCTTCGTGGTTACGCACAGCGCCTTCGTGATTACGCACAGCGCCTTTGTGGTTACACACAGCGCCTTCGTGGTTACACACAGCGCCCTCGTGGTTACGCACAGCGACCTCGTGGTTACGTTCAACTCCCTTGTGGTTACGCACAGCGACCTCGTGGTTACGCACAGATTACTCATGTTTACGCACAGGTTCTTCCCACGGTGCGCACGGCTGATGGTAAAGAAGCCTCAAGCGTCAGTATGTCCTCATTTGTTCCTCATTAATGATATTTGTGAGTGGGCGGACAGCACCTGTGCATTGAGATTTCACTTTCACCTCTCCTCAAATCTGTTTGTGTGCCTGTGTGTATAAATCTGTTTATAGAGACTTCTATAATAACAGGTCCAAGAAAAACTTCCCTTTGAGTGACCAAGGGGTCAATGTCATTGCAACAATATACTGTAAACCCAGCATGAATTGCTTTTACTATGAACTGAGATGAACTTCTGATATTAACTATATTTGTATATATTTTTGTATCTGAACTTACATGTCTTACCCAGTATCAGTGTTGTGCGTGAACGAGTTCAAAAGAACGCGTTCATTGAACACGCTCATTTCTCCGTGAACGTTGAACTGAACGCAACACATTTTTAAAAAAAGAACCTGAACGTGAATTAGTTCATTTTATGTGTCATGAACGGCAGACATCACTATGAACGTTGGAATCTGTTTTCTCTTTTGAAACGCAACGAGAGAAAGTTCCTCCCTCCTGTATTCTCGCACTTTTTCCGCTGAAATCACTTTTTCTAATCTGAAATCCTACGGTTTCCACCATCTGTGAACGCACCCCGACTTCGTGTTGCGGTGCGGCGCTGTGAGCTGGTGCTTTTCACATGTGCCAAAGTCGTGATGAAAACACAGGGTGAATTAGCGGTAAAGTTTACACCGTTTACATTTGACATAAAGTATAGACACACGCACTGCAGCGCATTACTGTCTGTAGTTTACGAGCAGAGATGGAGCAACTCCGTTTGGCTCCCATTGAAAACCATGTAAATCTTGTCTGTTTTGTAGTCAAAAGGCTCTCCTCCTGTGGGTGTACAGGAGATATATACATATATATATATATATATAATATAACATATATATATATATAATATATATATATATATATATATATATATATATATATATATATATAAGCTCGTAGTGTGAAAAAAATGTATTTAAGTATCTCATGAAAAAAGTAAAATGAACTGAACTTTGAACTAGTTCAGAATTAAAAATGTGAACTTTGAACGTGAACTGTTCACTTTGAGCATGTAGGAACTGAACTTGAACTAGTTCAGAAAAGCTGTGAACTGGCACAACACTGCCCAGTATGTAGTGGAGCATGTACACAAACACATTCATTTAGTCTTTATTCTCACCTCAACCTCATCGAAGTATTTGTGCCCTCAAAGGAAAATCAAGTTTTTCAAGATTTCATAACGTCTCTGTAGTCCGACATATCATATAAAATATATTTAATACTAGTTATAAACATTCTTCAAAATGCACACAAAATACAAACACAACATCTTCCACTATAAATCAAGAAAAGTATACATAGTAAGATCCTGAGTTAGCACTTGAGTGAACCAGCACCTGACAGCTTGATGAATGTGGCCCTTGTAATAATAAGATTCCATTTCGTTCTGTGAAAGTAAAAAAAAAAAAAAAACATTGATATTGATATTGCTGCTCAGCTGAATTTGGCCAGCTTAGAAGAAATTAATGCAAACAAAGGAAAATCACATTCCGTTCACAAGGACTTTGTGACAAGCGCCGAGTGTATCACAGACTTTGTTTTATTGAGGAATTAAATTCAAGTCAATATCATCCAAAAGGCATCTCTAACCAACCAAAACAGTCATGGACAAAGCCATCATTCTCACTGATGGCTTTTAACTTGGTTTCACATAAACAGAGACACATCACTAATTGTTTGAATTTGTCTATAGTTTATGTTATTCATTTCATTCACCAAACAAAAATGGAACTATGTCATAAAATCCAATCACCTACTGTATATGCCATAGCTCTCACTATTGCAAACTAACCATTTTTTCCACATGCATTTGTTTTTTGGCCTCTGTCACATCTGTAGATTAGCTTTCTCAGACAAAAAAAGGGAAAAAGAGAGGATCAACATAAAAAATTGGGAAAAAGTTAAAACTCTATGACATTCTGGATTAATATCAGCCAATAAACAGTTTGATTTAACCAACTGAAAGGCCTAATCAGAATATCAGCGCAACCGCGCACTGTGTTGCACTGTATTGTGTATTGTATATAGTAATTGTAACTCTATTTTAATTTTAAATTTATTCCTTAGAAGTGTTTTTTATTCTTTATTTTGTATTCTCTCTTTCTGACTGTTGCACCGAGCCAAAGCAATTTCCAAGTCTGTGACCTCCTGTTACCTACGTGGCAATAAAAATTATTCTGATTCTGATTCTGATTAAACCGATACCCGATCCACAGTATTTGCAATATTGGCATCGCGTATCAGTGCATCAAGATTTACCTTGTGGTTTTGGGCTCTTCCTTACGATCCAGAGAAGGCCCATATACTCTCTGACCCAACACCCCTCCCCCATTGTAAAACTAGACCTTGAATATAAATCCCTTTGCACATGTAAATCATTTATTACAAGCCAAAAGTATGCCATAATACATGAAAATCTATAATCCATGGAATACAGAGATCCGTGACAGGTAATATAATCCTATAGGTTTTGATTGTCACACGGTAAAATACCATATCAACTTTTGACATAAGTAATGAATTACTGTAATGCCAAATGCACTATGGCACATGTTTTCAATCTCACCACATCATCTTCAAAAACGCATAATCCTCCAGTGCATTGAACAGGCGAATGCTCTATTTCTCTCACGGATTTGTTTCTTTTAAGAGGGCCGTTTGCAACATATTAGTCGTGATGTGGAGGATTTTGGAGGCTCACGAGTCGTGCACAGTCAAACGTTCAGAATTCCACATGATTCGGGGCTTGTCAAATGAATGTATGCAATATTATGGAAATGCATCCTAAAACATCACTGCGATAATCCAAATGGTTCCATCATTTGCTAAGCTTTTTGCACCAAATACTGCATTATACCAAGCAACTGTTTCAAATACCTAACCTAAAGAGTAAAGGTGCATTCACATTTGTCCTTGTTGTCCAATTTGTGTCCACATATAGAATTGGTGAAATTAGAAGTTGCGTTGAAACAAAATAAATTACCCACGTTGTTACTTGTTCCCCTTCTAGTCTAGTTTAGTCACAAAGTTCCACTCTTGATGTGCTGAATACACAAGTGAAAATTACCATAAAATATAAAACGTATTTAAAAAAAACACTGCTTATGATAAATGGGTCCAATTCACGGTCTGTCAGCTGGAAACTAGCCCAAAACCAGGTAAATACACATGCGTTTACTTTAGTCAGTATTTACAATGTAGGAGGTCTTGGTTCACAGATGTAACACGGCAGCTTTCGAGTCCGGTGATCCTAGAGCTCAGTGGTTTCCAAACTGGAGTTGCAGGACACTTGAGTAGAGTACATTTGCTGTAAATCATTTCACAATTTTGAGTTGATTTTAAGCTGATTAAAGGGGTCCTGGACTGAATAGTTTGGGGACCCCTGCTATCTCTCTAAGCATTTTTTTCCAGTTCTAAACCAGTACTAATCTTGCTCTAAACCAGGACCTACTCTGAACTTGTTTTTTTAGCCAAGACAGGACTTGATTCAGCTCTAAACCCAGACAAACTCGGGTCTGTTCGCAAAGAGCAGTTTTGGTCCTCCTCATCCTCCTCCTCCTCGTCCTCCTCCTCTCCTCTCTCCACAGCTGTGTCGTGACTGTCGTGTTTGCTCCAGTTTGAACCACCTCCACATAACAAATCCACAAACGCAGCGTAAGCTCAGCTCTGCGGGGGAGGGCGGCTCGTTTACTGCTCGTTATCTGCTTTTCCTGAGTGGATGTGTTATGATTAGCACGAATTATAAGATCATTACAAAGGCCCACACACACACATACACAAACATGCACACACACACACTGCGAGTTTGGTTGAATCAATATGCACAATATGTGCAGTGAAAACTGTGGTGGTGCAGTAGTAGAAGTAGTAGCAGTAACAACAGTAGTAGTAGTAGTGGTAGGAATTAGTCGCAGTTGAAGGAGGTATAGTATCAATAGTAGAGCTGGAAGCACCAGTAATAATTA